CTCCAACACGACACAATGCATATAAACAATAATTATACACATCATCACACAATGCATAAATTTAATGTATTCTTTCAACCGTCAAGTTCCATGACACATTCCATTGATTAGTTTCCGTTTACCTAATCATCATGCATTGTCTACAACAATCAAGACTATCCTCCACCGATAGCCAAAGCAGTTATTTCTAAACAAATAATAAATGCCTCAACAGGTATATAATCTCAATATTTTCAAAGTGAGCGATTAATAAACCCAACTCCACCATTCTATCTCATAATGAGTCAATTTCATTATTTCCACCTCAATTTCATATTTCCATAATATTTCCAAATTAATTATATAAATTAATTCATAACAAAAATTAGGGCTTTCCTCCATTTTTCTCAACATTGACCCGAAGGCTCAAATATTAACAATAAACATCACCAATCTCATTTTAAGACCCAAGACATACATGTATGGGCTAGAATAACAAAACCTCTCTTTATAACTTTGAAACCCTAACACCCAAAGTTTCCCAAATCAACATTTAATCAAAATGACCACATGTCTATGTCAAAGACCATAAAGATGAGTAGCTATTCCTACCTCAAATTCGGAGCTCAAAGGAGAAGATGAAGAAAACTCGAAGTGCTCTAAAACAAGAAATTTTCAGATCAAAAGGTAGCTCTCACCATGCTCCACACTTTTTACAAAGGCACAAGGGTAGAAGATCACTCAAACTACATAAAACCCTAGAGAGAAGTTGAAGTTTAGAGTGAGGTGCTCTCCAATGGAGGTTTTGAAAAGTAAGAGAGAGAAAAGGAGTTGAAAAAGTGATCCAAAAGTCGGATCTCGGATTTATATAAAAGTCGCCCCGCTCGAGCGTCCAAACCCCCGCTCGAGCGTCAGTCACAGACTCCCGCTCGAGCGTCAACAATCCCGCTCGAGCGGCGGATACACACTTCCAGAACTTTTACAGAACCATACCTCCGCTTGAGCGTCAACCCTCACCGCTCGAGCGTCACACACAACATCCCGCTCGAGCGTCAAAACTCCCGCTCGAGCGCACAACACTGCAGAGGAGATACTGGAAGATGGAAAACTACGCTCGAGCGTCGAAAACCCCGCTCGAGCGGACAGACGACAACAAAGGGCCCGCTCGAGCGTCCAAATCCCCGCTCGAGCGTGAAGGCCAAAATCTGGCCAACTACTCTGGTTTCTAAGTCCAACCAACCTGTAACAAACTCTCCCAACACAACCCAAGACTCAAATGCAAGGAGTAAAGGATGTAAACAAGATATATACGACAACCAATTCCGTGGAACCTAAGTCCGGATATAATAGTTAAAGAAAAGGGGAAACCGGGATCGTTATACAGTCAAACGGGTCGGACTCCTAAACTTTGTAACGCACGTTTCACAACAACGTGTATAGAAACACTGCACCGACACTTAAGATATCTAAACGTATAACCCAAACATGTCCTACCATTTAACGCCACGTCACATAACTCATAATTCACTCCAGTAAATGACAATTTCGTCAATCAACATACTAAAGGACTGAATGGTTCACAAGAAATAATTTTGGACCATTTGAAACATTACATCACAAAACGGTATTTACCGGTCAATTTTCCATTTTATAATGAGTGATTAAAAAATATGAGAGTATGAAAATTTATAATTAGCCTCAGACATTAGGACTAACCAATATTTTTGGTTATTTAGAGGATGTAGCATTATTGATTTATTTATTTGTTAATTTTCACCCTAAGGCCATGTTTGATTTACAAAACTAATAGTGAAAGTATTAATAATCCCATCAAATTAGTGTAATATTCACTACCTAATTGGATTAGTAGAATAAATTATCCCCTTATCATTTGTTTGATTTGCATTGGATAAGAAAAATATATAAATATAGGATGACAACTATATTTATTTTCTTTTCCAATCTTACCTTCCATTAATGTTTGTTCACAATCTTTACTTTATCAAAATTTCTTCATAAACATAGTTTTGAAAAAAATTATAAATAAATAAATAAAAGTAAAATAAAAATACAAAATACAAAGGTCATGTTTAATTTGTTTTTAAATTTTTTTAATAAATATAAATTAATTTAAATATCAAAAAATATTTTTAAATTTTAAAAAATTATCTTTAGCCTTCTAAAATATAAAATTATATAAAAATAAAAAATGTTTTATTTTTTCATGAAACTAATTTTTATTTTTTATTTTTTAATTTTTTTTGAAAACCATACTAGACATGGCCGTAATTCTCACTCAACATAAAAGTCAATAATCAAAATTATTTTGGTCTTCATATTATAAAATGTCATGAAAATTCCATCAAAAAGCATCTTATATGACATTAATTGAGGGTTGCATCATGACCAACTACCATATAACAAAATGCACAAATTGTGAATAACAATGTGGGCAGTTTATAGGATTTCAAAAAAGGTCAAGAAGTGGGGGAGCTTTGTGTAATGGAGGTGAATATAGAAGAAGCTAGAGGGTTGGATGGGAGTAGTCAAAGTTGGTTTGTTGAGGTTTTTCAGGTTTGTTGGTGTGTTGCTTAAATAGGCTTCTTTGGGGAGGTGAGGTTAAAGGTATATTATAGTTTTCATAAAAACAAAGACATTTAGAGAAATATATGGTATGCTTGGTTGTGCAAGTTACTGAATTGCTTTGTATTTACTATTTGAAAGCTATTTGAAACCATTCTATTCATAGCTCATGAACACACTTAATACACTTATTGGGGAGAGAGGGAGAGAGAGAGAGAGAGAGAGAGAGATTCCTTATAACGGTCTTATATTTGTGGGAGATTTTGTTAATAAAGGGGAATTATATCACTTATATTTAGTACTACTATTATTTAACCATTAGGCAACACTTAGGGTGCCCTAAAAAATGCAGCTTCAATTCTATAAGAAGCACACTCTCACATATCTTATTATCACTTTATTTATTTATTTATATATATAATCAAATTTTGATATATCATCATTACTGTATTAGTTTAATGAATCCTATTTTTGATATAAGCAAAAGAGGAATGTAACTCATTAATCTTAAATCGATTCCATCACTAAGAACCGAAAGAACACAAATTAACTAATTAAAAACCTTACAAAGGTCAATGAATAAATAAGAAAAAAAATCATAAATAGCAAAGTTAGGAATAAAATTCAAAATAAATAAACTATTTCTAACACTAATTGTTACAAATCTCCATGTAGATGCCACAAATGCTCAACTAGGTCTGCTTGGAGTTTAGAATGAGTTTGTCTATCTCTTATGCGATGATGATTTTGAATGAAGTCATAAAGTTCGGGTGTACGCTCGTGTGACACTGCTGGAGGGAGAGTTTCATCGATTGCATCATAATTACAGTCTATATTTTGTTCATTTCGCTCATCTTCAACAATCATGTTATGCAATATTATACATGCCTTCATAATAACTTTAAGGGTCTCAACTTTCCAAAAACGTACAGGTCCTCGCACAATTGAGAAACGTGCTTGGAGCACTCCAAATGCTCGTTCGACATCCTTCCTTGCTGACTCTTGAGCCTTAGCAAAATGTATTTGCTTATTGCCTCGTGGAGATGGAATTGTTTTAACGAATGTTGACCATTGAGGATATATACCATCAGCGAGATAATATCCCATTGCATAGTCATTTCCATTGATTGAGTAATCAACTTGGGGAGCACGCCCCTCAGTAAGGAGAGAAAATACAGAAGAACGTTCTAACACATTGATGTCGTTATGAGATCCCGGTAATCCAAAAAATGCATGCCACATCCATAGATCATAGGAAGCCACCGCTTCTAAAATAATAGTTGGTTCATGGATATGACCACAATACATACCTTTCCATGCAGTAGGACAATTCTTCCACTTCCAACGCATACAATCAATGCTCCCCAACATTCCAGGAAACCCACGATTTTTTCCCACCTCTAGTAATTTAGCAATGTCATCTTTGTTTGGTGCCCTCAAGTACACATCTGAAAAAATTGCAACCACTGCCTGAACAAACCTTTGTAGACTTTCTATTGCAGTGCTTTCTCCAATCCTCACATAATCATCTACAAAATCGGCCGCTACTCCATAAGCGAGCATCCTCATAGCCGCTGTCATCTTTTGAAGGGAAAACAGACCAAGAACTCCAATAGCATCTTTCTTTTGGACAAAATAAGGATCATATGCTCCCACCATAGATAAAATACGAAGAAAGAGATATCGACTCATCCGAAACCTCCTCCTAAATAAATTGGGCGGATATATAGGCGTTTCAGAGAAGTAATCTTGATAAAGTCTCTTGTGGCCTTGAATTCGATTACGATAAATAACTGTATGACCTTGAATAGAACCACGACGTAATCCCAATTGCCTCTCATTATTTAGCCGCTCTTCTTCTAAAGCAGCTATTGCAAATATCTCCAATTCATTATCAGAATCAGAGTCATCAATAATCATCTTCATTACACTATTGCGAGCCATGGAAATTAAAAGAAGAATGAAGCTGAGTAATAAGCAACTGAAAATAAATATTAGGTTGTGTTTTGCTTCTTAAGCTTTGCAAGTTTCTGCCTAACAACTTCAATTTTCTGCAAAGTCAAATTTATAAAACATATCAAATAACTTCCAAAAGCAAAACACCAGCAACTTACATAATCTGTATTTAATTGATCAACAAATAGAAATGTCCTGTAAATAAAAATCACTCCAATCCAACATACAATAAGAATTATATTTAGCCATGGAGTACTTCAACAAGCATTCAACGAGAATTCCACTCAGTAATTAAATTACTACTACTTCAACCATTCAACAATAGGTAGTTCCAAAAAACTTTTAACATATAATAAATAATTCCAACATAAACTGCATAAAAAACATAGTTCTGCCTACAATGGAGAATCAAATCCAACAATAAATAAAGTGAAAAACATAGTTCCAACAACTAAATTTTTTTTGGGTAGTTCCAACAACTAAATCTTTTTTTGGAGAATTTCCATTTGGCGGCGATGAAGGCATTCTGCTTGCAATGAAGGCAGACCACTTGTATCTATTGACATTATTCGCTCTTCCTCCTTCAATTGTTCCATTCGTATCTTCTCTTTCTCATTATCAACCTTTTCTTGTTCCGTTTGCGTCCTCTTTTTCTCATTATCAATCTTTTCTTGCTCTTGAAGATACGACCTTTCATACATCTCTATTTTCTTGTCATTCATTTTCTTTCTATCTTCCTTTAAATCCTCTAATAATATTAAAATAGGTGACCCTCCTTCATTTCCACGGTCTTTATTCTTTCTTTTATTCAAACGTTCCTTTTCAGCTTTCCTACCCGGTGGTCTTTCCAAGTCTACATTGTCATTATGTGAAACATCATGGTCCTCTAAATTGATTGAATCCGGTGCACTAGGAGAACAAACGCCGGGAGTTGCCACTTTTTTTGGTTTTTGTTTCTTCATGCTATATTCCTCTCGCCATTTTGGTTGATCTCTTAACTCATGCCAACAATGTTCAAATGGAAATGACGATTTGTACAACTCTTTGTATAATTTCCTCGCATCAAGAATCTGAATAATAGATAAAAGAACACTAATTATCATGAGATTAGACAATTCCAATGATAATAAGTATAAAAAACTCAATGGCATTAATACCTTATCTTTGTCAGTCTTTCCACTTTGATTCAACCTTTGGATTTGGGCGAAGCACCCACTGAACTTATTCGTGGCAAGTTGAATTGCTGACCAACGGTTCATTAAAGAAGTTTGACTACAATTAGATGAAAAAGTTTTGTACTGGTGGAAATACTCCCACACTCTTAGCCAATAAGCCTTTGATTTTTGTTCATTCCCTTGCACTGGATCTAAGCTAATGTTAAGCCACGCCGATATGAGCATACTGTCTTCTTCTGTAGTGAAGTTGCCACCTCGTTGTGGTTTCTTGGTGGTTTCTATTTGAGGAGAGATTGGGGAAGACTGATCCCCTTGGTCAAGAGGTTCATCCATAAATTCATAATCAGTCCCATCATTCATCAAGTTGGTGAAATATGCATCATTTTGTTGCTGACTCATCTATACACAAGGTAAACAAAATTATGGCAACATATATTGGGTTGGAGAAATAACTAAGATTCCCAATTGGAAGCAAATTAATAAATAGAGATCATATAAGAATAATTTATTTGACTAAGAAACAATTATTTGGAATTTGATGTGTGGATATCATTTTTCATTTTTTACTAGGTACATTGAGTTGGATAAAGGATCATATTTAGCTTATGAAATGAGAATTAATGGGTAAGGAATAACAATTTTTTAAAATTAATATACACTCCATGCTTAAAAAAATAGAACATAAGTCAATATAAAATGCCAAAAATATTTAAGATGGTTATTGAACTGGTTTGAGGTTGATTTACTAAAATCTGTTTAAGTTGTCTGGTTTGAGGGTTTGACTTCGATTTTATGCTTTGTGTAATGTCTCTGGTCTATGTATAAATACTTGCAATTATTATAATGTTTTGGCAGTGGCACACTCATCAAATAGTCTACATCAGCCTAGGTGATCTTACCAATTTTCAAGGTGACCAGATGTTGTATGATGTACACCTATAAATGTATAACTATTAGACATTCCAGAATGATTGATAACATTCAAAGGAGAGTGTGTAGGTTTTTCAGAAATACACTTAGTTAACAAAATCCATTGCTGTCAACCAAGGCAGTGTTTGTTCACAGCAATTCCTGAATCTCTCAAATACAGAACAGAGTGGAAAAGACCTGTTAAAAATTATTTCATTGTAAACAAGTCATAGAGAGCTTCACAACAACCAAAAAATCCATCAAGTCAGGGATCAATGCACCCTCAGGTATTGGATCCGGGCTATAAAATTTTGACCCAAGGTCTCCATAGCCCAGCGAGACGAATAACTCACTTTCATCAGAAAATAAATAAATAAATAAATATAAATAAAAAATAAAAAAATATCTCAAAGGTTTATTGCAATCCAAAATTGGAAATGTAACATGTAACAAAATTTTTGCACTAATTTCTTATCTTACATAGGATTTGCAGTAAGCTCCAATAGACTCAAGGTCAGCAAAGGCTGGTTCTAGCATGGAGGGAGGATTCCTGATGTAGAGTGTGGAAGGGAAAAGAGGGACTAATTTAGAATTTCACATAGAGCACAATATAGTTTGACTTGTTTAGGATCAATTTGGGTCATACTTATAATTTTTGAGTTACAATGTTGTTGGACTAATTTGTTATATACATATAGGCAATTCATACAGTGAAGCCATTTATCTGTACACTGCATTTCTGTAACAAGGACCACATCCAACTATGCCTTGACTCTTCCGAGCAGTCAATTTTCTACAGAAAAAGATTTGTTTATTTCTGGTGCTTAAGTTTTTAGTTTTAAACTACTTATTGCTTCTACCATTATTTGTCACAACAAACTAAAACGACATTATCTGGTACTAAACCTGTAATTAGCTAAAATTAAAAATCCCAGGTAAGTCATGGACCACCAAGTTTCTTTGCAAGAGCAGAACCAAAATTCAAGGCATCCACAAGTTGCTAGGCAACATGCCAACACCCAAGAAATTGGATGCATCTATGGTAAATGACAACCAAATAGACTGCACAAAGCTATCTATACTCAAGCTATATGTAATTGTCAACCATTGGCTCAAAAGAATAACACCCAGGCAAGAGTTCTCGAGCAACAAACAGCAATATTACAACAATTAGTTTATTCCATCTTCCACTCAGATTAAAATCTTTTTCATATGCTCATATCAGCTGTATGTAAAAAAATATAATGTAAAACAGCTAATCATTTAAAACCAAATTCTAACTCATCTGCATACCATACTGTAATCCAGTATCTTTTTTAGCAAGTTTCGGAATTTCTTTTGGCAGGTAATACTGAACAATAAGCTGTATGAAAATGGGTCAGAAAACTGGTAGCACACAGCATACTTGAGATCAAACAACCCCCAAGAACAATAACAACGATGATGTGTTTTGCACTCTATTCAGTCTGTACTTATGACCAGTAAAAATAAGTACAGGATTCAAGCCAACAGGTGGGATTCTAAAGTGATTAACTAGAGAAATACATGTGCTCCTTGGAAATGCATTTCTAAATTGTTGGATTTATTCTATGATTTAATTTGTTTCATGAGGATAAAATTCTTAGAATATGTAGAATTAAGGTTCAACTTGCAAAATCATTCGCAACACAAAAACACAAAACACAAAAACAGAACAGTAAAGTATCAATGTATGCTTGAACTCACAGATCAGACCCTCAAGTACACATATAAATTGTTTACAGATTGTAAAACCAAGAAAATGGGAGAGACCCAGATTACAGAGGAACAAGGAAAGTTTGTGCTATACATACATATATATATATATATATATAGAGAGAGAGAGAGAGGGTATATGAGTTGCATAGAAAGGGGAAGACAGAGAGATAGAAGGATCCATACCTTGAGGAAGAGGTCGATGGAGGGAGTTGCAGACAACGTTGAAGGAGAAGATCGATTTCACTGAAAGAGCAGATCGATTTCGCGGGAGAGACGTGTTTGGAGATCGATTTCGCGCTGAAGAAGTAGATCGATTTCGCGGGAGAGACGTGAGTAGATCGATTTCACGGGAGAGACGAGTTTGGAGAGCATTCAATCACTCTTCAATTGAAGCCAGCGAAAAAGCCGCGAGGGAAAATAGGAAGCCATTTACCCAGCCTGTTGGAGTGAGAATATTAGGCTGATATGAGCTAAAATAGCTAACAGTACCAATATACCTCTTCCCTTGGAGTTGCTCTAAATAAGAGGCCTTGGTCCTCTATTTCTCTTAACTAGGGCTTAGAATGGAATTTGTGAAATTCGTAATTCGATCTAATTCAGTCTAATTTGATAAGTTTGGATTAATTTTTTGAATTTGTGGTTCAATTCTGAATTGAAGAATTAAAAATTCGTAGTCCACGAATTGGTTCCGGATTGAACCCCACGGTTCCGGATTGAAACCGATCTGGACCGTATACAAATAGTCTATATTTTTATTATACATCATCTCTCATAGTATCTTATCTTATTTTATATAAAACCTAAACTCAAACATAAATTCGTATAATATCTTCTTTTATTACTTTTGTTTATTAGTTTTTAGTTTTAATTTGTAATGGTCTAAATACTTATGGTGAAACCAGTTTTCTTAATGTTGTTTAAATTTCAAAACAGTCTGTCGTTATTATAAAAAAACATGTTGCTATTATGAAATTAATATAGCGCTATATTTATATTTTTAAGAAATTAAAGTGTTAAATATATATATTTTTTGTTATTTAATTATGTGAATCCGTAGTCTTAAACCGATTCAATCCGTGTTTAAATGGATTGGTTCGAATTGGTTCCATGATTTAAATGGATTAGATTGGTTCTAATTTTTTAAGAACCGTAGATAACGAATTGATCCTGATTTTATCTCAATCCAATCTAATCCGGACCATCCTCACCCCTACTCTTAACAAATCCAATCGATCATATTCAGATCCCCAATTTCCAATCTATTTTTCTAGTGCGAGAAAAAGAGAGAAAATGGCAGGAATCATACACAAGATAGGAGAGACCCTCCACATAGGAGGCCAAAAGGAAGGCGAGAAGCAACACAAAGAAGGTGAGCACAATGGAGAGTACCATGGCGATATGCACAAATAGGAACACTACGAAGGAGACAAGCACAAATCTGAAGCAAAGAAGCACAAATCGGAGCACCATGGAGATGAGCACAAGGAAGGAGGGTTCATGAGCAAGATCCATGGTGGTGGTGATCATCATGATCATGAGAAAGGTGAGAAAAAGAAGAAGGAGAAGAAGAAGAAGCATGAGGATGGACACAAACACCATGGTCATGACAGCAGCGACAGTGATAGCGATTAGATCGCTCGCTCGCTTTATACTTCTTCTCCTACACTACTTCGAATATAATATATATACGGGGAGAAAATATTCCGGCAAGCCCGTATTCCTTTCTTCCAAGCTCCGTTTCTGTCCGATCACCTGCGAGCACGACAGCGGTGAGCTACCCGGCGGTGTGTGGCCGGAAAAACCCTTCGACGATCAAGTTAGAACATACACAGGAGATAGATAGAGAGAAGGGAGAGTGTTTGAGTGTAAGAATTTCCTTACAAAATGTTCCTGTCTCGCGTATGGGGGGCGTAGACATGCTTATATACCCTTCTGCGCCCCAAATCCACTCCCATTGGTCTCTCGACACGTGGCTCTGTTATCCCATCTGTCAGCACAAATCTTGCTATACATCACCTAACCCAACTGCCAGCCCACTGTGCTGGGAGCACGGCAGCCGGGCAACATTATCTCGGCTATCAACGGCCATACCGAACATGCCTAAGTGCAGTTAATGTCGTAGTTTCCTACTACCGGGCTTAATTCCAGCCGTGCTCAACTATATTCGAGCTGGAGATTGGTGACGCCGGTCAGCCAAAGACCTTCTCGGCCAAGCTCCAAGCACAGGCCTTCCTACCGGGTTAAGGTGCGTGCATTACAACCTTGCAACGCGTGAGCCGGGGAGCCTCATCTAGGCTGTTCCTCCACCTGTCCGGCCTTCGCGGAACCGAGATCAGATAACTCGGTTCCACGTGGGCTTTGCCATTACCGAGCAGTATCACGGCCTGATCTTGGAGCCCAATACCTCGGCCCAAATCTGCCCGGCTAACGTCACGGCCCAATCTCAAATCATAAATCTCCCTCTCAATCTCGAAGATAACGCTAAAGCATCGAAACGTGAAGTCTGTTGCTACCGGAGTTGCCTTCACGGTAGTTGCTGACGCGTCATCCTCGACTCGGATGTGCTTATTGATGCG